CAGACTAGCCAGTCGTTGAAAGTTGCGATGCGATCCGATGCCAGACCCCAACCTATTGGAGGCGCCCTTCTGCTTGAATGATCGAAGGACCCTCCATGTCCCCATCCTTTACCAAAAGGCTTGCCGAAACCCAACCTGACATCCGACGTAATGATTTGTTCAACACGCGGTCCCAGGAAGTCCCGACCTCTTCCATGGGGGCATTATTTTACTTTTCAAGACGTCGGAGGTCTCCCCAGGGAAGAGCCTCAGGAGTCGGGCCGAACGAAAGGGGGGCATAGGGAAAGGGGGGGGTGCGAAATCTGCTGCATGCAGCTGGTTTCGGCCCCGCCGCCAAGCCCAGTCCTCGATACATGGGCGCCTCCCAGCGCCAGGAGGCGCCAGGAAAGCTTGCCATGTGAGGTGATTATCCACCCTACCCTTTGCTATCCTATCCTTTCGTCCCCCCCGGAAGGAGGCTTCGGAAGTCCCCGGGAGACTTCCGGAGACCTAAAAGCAGACAAGACCATCCCGAAAGTTCGGTCCTCGAACTTCGGCTCGGGGTCGAGAGCTTCAGGACAGCGGCTCGACAAGGATCGAGTCGTCGGAGGACTGGGTTTCAAGAGGTCGGAGGTTGGGGGGGTGAGATCGAAGTGAAACGGAGCCCCGAAACTGGCGAATTCCTGACGCATCGCATATCCACACCAGCCCACCCAGCAGCGATTATCAGGGAGTTGTCTCGACGAGGGAAACTCTTGAGACCCTCTTAGGAGCCTTGGGGGCCATCTTGAACCGTCTTGGAGGACGTCGTTCAAACAAGGGGGCGGCGCGGACCAGGGTTGCCACTGTTGGGCCGTTTTGGAGCCGCTTTGAAAGACGGTGGGGCTCTCTTGGGACCTCGGGGACATCTTGGAAGACATCGGAAAAAGAGTCGCCTCTGTGGAACCTGAAAAGTCGCGTATTGGGGCCTTCTTAAGATGCTCGTGGGGCTTTCTTAGACCCTCTTGGAGTCATTCATGTTCAGGCCTCAAAAGCCCATCGGAAGCGAAACGACGAGAAGGCAAAACACATTGACTTCCTGCTTCAGGTGTTGGAAGGATTTGGGGCATCTGTGGAGCGTAATTGGCAGGCTTCGTGGCCACGTGAGGCTGTTCTGGAGCGGTCTTGGGGCCCCTCTGAGTACTGTCGGAAGAAATGCTACGCCATATTCGAACATCTCAAGCCAGCCCATTCACCACTCCTATTTATAATGACGCAATTGGAGGCGCCGTTCCACGCAATAGATGCTACAGGTATGTGTTAGACCATGGCCAAGGACTTACCAGCTTGGAACATATCCCTATCCCTATGCTGGGCATCTCCTCATCACGATGCCAATCTAAGGGATTCCCTTATTTTTTGAGGGCGGATCCCTAATATTGTCATCGCCTTTTGGCGTGTCAAGCTTAGGGATAGGGATACGTTCGAGGCTGGTAAAAGGACTAGATTACAAGTGGCAGAGACAGGCACACGTCCCTCACCCTAGCAAATATGCGTTCAAGCGGTTCGGTCAGGTGGGCGCACCACGGGCGGTTCGGTCAGGTGGGCGCACCGCGGGCGCACCACGGACGACACAACGAAGGCGATCGCATCATTGTTCGATCTCATGGCTATCGCTAGATGATTACGTGTGGACGATGCTACAGATTTGATCGGCCAGCGTGAGAAGTCTTCTCAGAAGTCCGGGTCTCAAGCAGCGTCGAGTCAAGCTGGTGGCCTGGGCGTCCTTTGCGGGATCACGCACCGAGGCCATGCCCCGTCTGAGCCTGTTCCGGTGACTTCTCAGTTCTCCTTTCCTTTCTGTTGCTTTACTATGTCACATTTGGGTTGGCAGGGCCAGGATGGACCTGCCCAGCTCTGACAGGGACTCGGTCCAACGTTTCTCCCACCGTGTGCACATGCCCTGCTAGAGCAGCTCAACCTATCAGAAGGCTGGCTAGCGCGATTGGTTTGCAGACGTTGCGACTAGGTTCAGCTGAGCTGTGTATGATCTTGTCCGAGGACCCTGGGAGTCAGGGTCCTGTGGGTTGGTATTGTACCCACGTGTGGGGACGACGACGACGACGACGACGACGACGACGACGACGACGACGACGACGACGACGCAACGACGACAAGGACGACGAGCTTCTGCCAGGCTCTCGAGGACCTCGAGGCGGCGCCATCCTCGGGGCGGCGGCCTCGACACCTAGATAAGGCGCCTCCGGGCGGCTATTCCGAGTGCGCGGGCGGCTCCGGCGCGGATTCTGTCTTCCGCCATGCAGGAAGGGGCCCCGACGGAGACGCGCCCTGTAGGTTCGCCGCAGTGTTCGAGCTCTCGGGGCCCTCCCTGGGCCCTGGGACCGTCCAGGAGCTAGGCAGGATGACGAGCTGCTCCCGAAGGGCGGCCCCAGGGTCCAGGTCCCGCTTCCCTTCAGGACCAGGCCTCCTGGCATCCTACAGCTGATCCAGCTGCTCCTCCCTCCCGCTCCTCCCCCCTCCAGCTCTGCCTCCCTCGGCCGCCGATCCGTAGCCACTCTGCTCAAGCCAAGGGGCGTGGCTCAGAGGCAGCTATAAGGCCAGCCTAGCCTTCCGATCCTTCGCTACGCGTGCTGCAGCATCCGGGGATGCTTTGGTTGGGAGTGGGTCAATCGGGCAGGTTGGAGCAGTAAGCGCGGCACAAAGTTCCAGTGCTAGCGACAGCCGAATCAACGTTGCAAGCCCCAAGAAGATCGAGCAGGACGTGACAAGCCCGACAGTACCAAGCCTGGCAGTTGAAGGCGTATGCGGTCCCGTCAGCCGCCCGACTCCAAAGACCAGAACCAAGACAAGACCCCAGAAGCTAAAGACGATTATCCTGATCCAGTGTCATTGGCCCAAGATCAAGTTTCCTTACGGCAGACACGGGGTGGCGCCCAGGGCAACAATATCGCGACGCAGTGGAGTACTTAGCGCAAGCCAAGCAAGCTGCCCTGCGAGACAAAAGCTTTGACAAACAGACCCAGTCACTCAATGGCCTGGTGCAGAACCTCAAGTCCAATATCGCCACAGCAGAGGACGACACCTCCAACACCGAGAACCAGGTCGCAACCCTGGCCAGCGGCTCAGAGAGAAGCTACATGAATTACAAGGCTCACGAGTGCAATTCCAGCAGTTGGCAGCTCAACTGGCCATGGCAGCTACGGCGGCAGCCCAAGAAGCAGCGGATTCCACCGACACCACCCAGATGCTAGACGCGGCCTTCCGGGCCAAGCTGCCACAGGACGAGAGCATCCCAGACATCTTTTCTCCAACAAGGTGCAAAAGGTCGAGCGGCTGTTCCACAGGCTGCAGAGACAGCACGAGAAGGCCAGAGCACCAGTTCAACCAGCAACACCCGATGCGAAAGCAGTACGAGCCCCACTTCGAGCCGATTCAGCACCTGAGGCAGCAGCTGCAGCGGCAGGTGCCATGGGCGACGGTGGCGAAGCGATGGTAGTATCGAAGACGCCTACGGCGAATCACCGCCGCCCTCTGCCTTTTTGGAAGCGCCTATGTGGCCGAACGTTGAGGCCAGACCTTCCAAGCCATCGGACCATGTGTTCCCCGAGTCGGTTTGGAAAGCCTTCGGGGAACACGTGGGCATCTTGAAGGTCATCCTGGCCGTCTTGGAGGCCTCGTGGGCGATTTTTCGGCGATCTTTGGGGGCTCTTGGGCCGTCTCGGGCCGTCGGGAGGCCGAAAAGAAGGAAATGTCAAAATCCTTCGCAAACCTTTGGAAATCAATGTTTTTGGCCTTTTTCCTTCCTTCGTGGAGGCCCTCTTGGGGGTCTCTTGGGCCGTCTTGGGCCAGCTTCGAGCCAACTTCGGCCATCTTGGTGGGTTCCTGGCACGTCTGACGCCGTCGGGGGCCGTCTTGGGGGCCTTTTCTGGGCCAGCGGGGGACCCTCTTGGGGCGTTTCGGGGCCGTCTTGGAGGCCATCTTGGGCGTCTTGGAGCCCATCTTTGGCGTGTTGGAGGCCTCTTGGGCCGTCTTGGGGCCCTTTTGGGGCCAACTTGGAGGCCACTTGGGCCGTCATGGGGCCCTCTTGGGGGCCTCTTGGGCGATCTTGGGGGCCTCTTGGGCCGTCTTGAGCCGCCGGAATGCCGAGAAGAAGCAAATTCCAAAATCCTTCAGAAACCTAAGGAAATCAATGTTTCTGGCCTCTTCGGGCCCTCCTGGAGAACCTCTTGGAGGCCTCTTGGGCCGTCTGGGAGGCCTCTGAGGGGCCTCTTGGGTTGTCGTGGGCCATATTCGACTCTCTTGGGCCGTCTTGGAGGCCGTCTTGGACCATCTTGGGCGGGGCCATATTGGGCCATCTTCGCGATTTGTTGAGGATGTCCCGAGCGAAACGGCCGTTTCTTGAGCGATCTTGGAGGATTTGTTTCCGGCCGACGGGACGGGCCGGAGCCCCAGGGGAGTTCTTTTGGAAAAAGAACCAAAACCAAAACCAACACCGAAAGGGTCTAGCACGCCAGGCACCCCTGCGATGAATCGACAGGGGGCGGCGGACCTACTCGCTTTCGGCCCATCCCGCCACCGTGCCTGGGCTTGGGGTATAAAGCCAATTGGGTGTTCGTTGGGATCTCGTGGGGGGCCTCCTCGTGGGCCTCTTGGAGGCAGTTTGGAAGCTTCTTGTGGGCCGTTTGGGGACCTCGTTGGGGTCTCTTGGGGGCCTCTGGGGGCCTCCTGGGGGCCTCTTGGGGGCCTCCTGGGTTGGAGGGTTCGAATTTTCGGTGCGTGTTCCGTCTGCCCCTTTTTAGGGGCCGTTTTGGGGGGCCCTTCTAGGAGGCCTCTTTGGCAATTTTGGAGTGGTACTGCGTGTCTTTTGGGGCCGCTTTGGAACGCCAGCAATCCGAAAAGGCGAGAACGTCAAAGTCTGTCAGAAAATGATTATTACATACACACACACATATATATCTGTATACATACATACATACATACATACATACATACATACAGATATAGAGATATAGATATAGATCTAGATATAGATTGGGAGGCCCCTTGGAGGTTTCTCTGTGCGTCTTGGAGGACTTCCGGGCCATCTTGAGGCCATCTTGAGCGTCTTCGAACGGTCTTTCCGCGACTCGGAATCCTCTTGGACCGTGACCGTCTTAGGGGCCTCGCGGGGCCCTCCTGGCCCGTCTTCGGGCCCTCCGTGGCCTCGAGCGTTCACACGACAAGGACGAGGACGTGCCCTACGCCTTCAGCGGCTTCAGGCGTGCAGCGGCGGAGCTCGAAGATTTGCCCAATATCCTGGAGTCCAGGAGCGTCGACAGCGCCAATATCATCACGGACGCATCGAGTGCAGCAGCATCGGCGGCAGCATCAGGTGCATCACCGTCGAGTCTTTAGCTAGCAGATCACCATGGTGGTTCTCAACGATACCTGCTGTAGTACTCTCAAGAAGTTCTTTGTCTCCAAGCACGCGCAAAAGTCCATCTCATTTGTGCGCATGAGCATACGGCACGATGTGACGATATCATGGTGCAACAGGTGCAGTGGTATCAACACGCAGGATGGTTGGCACAACTCGCGGTGCTGGCCAGCGGCGTTGCCATACTCGTCAAAACCGGCCTAGATATTGGAGTGTCAAACGCGACTATTCTTCAGAAGGTCGACCGGAGCAGGTTAACTTGCGCGCTTCTCGGCATGGTTAGCACGCCCGAGATAGGATTCGCGCGTGCGTATTTCAACGCTTCCAGTTGGCTTGGGGAAGTCCATCTAGGCCTGCTAGCACACCTTTTAGCCCAACGAGATTTAGGAAAATGCCCCCTTATCGTTCCCGGCGATTTCAATATGTCCATCGAGGATCGAAGGCTTAGGTAAATGCCCCCTTATCGTTCTCGGCGATTTGAATATGTCCATCGAGGATCGAAGGCGTGGATTTCCTCGACCGCGCCCCCATGAGACCGGCGGCCCCCCTGGCCCCGACCGGCCGAACCGATCGCACTCAGCGCGCGCGGGATTAAGTCTTGCGCGGCCAGGGCGTCCGAACTTGGGACAACTACCCGCTCTCTCTCTCTCTCTCTCTCTCTCTCTCTCTCTCATTCTCTCTCTCTCTCTCTCTCCTGCTCTCTCTCTCTCTCTCTCTCTCTCTCTCATTTTTTTTTTATCTCTCTCTCTCTCTCCCTCTCTTTCTCTCTCTCTCTCTCTCTCTCTCTCTCTCTCTCGCTCTCTCTGTCTCTCTCATTTGTTTCTCTCTCTCTCTCTCTCTCTCTCTATTTCTCTCTCTCTCTCTCTCTCTCTCTCTCTCTCTCTCTCTCTCTCTTCTCTCTCTTTCTCTCTTCTCTCTCTTTCTCTCTCTTTCTCTTCTCTCTTTCTCTTTCTCTCTATTTCTCTCTTCCTTTTTTTTTTTCTCTCTCTCTCTCTCTCTCTCTCTCTCTCTCTCTCTCTCTCTCTCTTTTTTCTCTCTCTCTCTCTCTCTCTCTCTCTCTCTCTCTCTCTCTCTCTCTCTCTCTCTCTCTCTCTCTTCACAGGCCAGTCAGCCTGCGACTTCTGGATGTTGAATATCTCCGGGCACCGGCATTCCGCGCGCCGCGAAGGCATCTTGTTCAGGCGCCCGCTGGGCCGCAACCCGAAGCGCGACTTTGTTTGGATTTAAATCGATCGCGCAAGTCGCCGCGCGGGGAACTTGCTCGCCGACGCCGTCGAGCCTCGCTGCCAGCAGCCGAAGCAGATCATCGCAGACGCGGCCAACTCCACCGCGATCAGGGGCTTCGCAGGGGGCCCCAGCTCGATCACGGGCGCCAAGAGCGAGGCGCCTGCGACGCGGCGGGTCAGGGCTGAAGGTCATAATGTCAGAGCCAGCTAGAGGCCACTGGGGGCCCTCTTCAAGCGGCCGGTCTGCAGGACTGCACCGACGAGCTGAACGGCGCCCCCCCCCTTCAGGACGCCTTGCGGGCGACGCGGCAGCTCGGATAGCTGCTGATTGCCGACGGCGCAGCAGGAGTTTCATCAGGCGGCACAGCCGACGCGGCCATCAACCGCGCACTCGCCGACGTCGAGAAAGCGATCAATGTCGAGCATCAAAAGACCGACGCGAAGCGTCATGCGCGCGGTCGCCCCAGGCCCGGGGACTTCCTCGCGGCGGGCGCGGCCGGCGCCGCGCGTGGATTGGGGGCCTGGAATCTTGAAAGCCAGCCTCAACGCGCATCCCAGGTAAGCGGATTGGACGGCCGTCAACAGCACACGAAGCAGGAGCTGAAAGACTAGCGGGGCATCGGGGCGCCCCCAGCGGGCACTGGACCTCCCCGGTCTCCCAGGACATCGACGACAGAATCGCTCTACGGCGAACTCCAACAGTTTCCCTCGCAGGACAGCGTCGACGCGGGGCGGGGTGCACTCGCGGCGCCGCGCGCTGACCCCCGAGGGCCACGCTGATCTGATCGCGCGGCTGCTTCTGGCTGCAAGGCGGGCCCCGGGGCCCGCGCCATCACGGACCCAGGGCGCCGCCGCCGCCCTCGCGAAACGCGAGCAGCC